TTTCCTGTTTTTTAAAAAAAGGAAGAGTATTTTGTTCTCAGAGGGACGTATGTTTGGAGATGAAATGAGACCTTGACGACAAATTAATCGTGTTTATTTTTGGATGGGTTGTTTTGTTGTTTTTTAACCAGCTTTGTGTGGGTGGTCCTCTCACCCATGTTCAGTGTCTGTCTGTTTTTTAAATTGTTTTCCCCTTGTTGACATTGGGTAAAATATTCTCCCAAGTTTTCGTGACCTCTGTCGGTATCTTTTTTTCTTCTTTTTCTTTCTTTTTTAAGAGATCAAATTAAATATATTGATCTATCTACATTTCTACCTGTCCTCGTTGGGGAGCAAAGGGTGAGATGGCTCTCTATGAGGATGCATCAATATAATCTACCAGCTTTGCTTTCTCTTCTTTTTTCTTTTTTTTTTTTTTGGGGGGGGGTCACATGCTTTTTGAATCAAATTGTCGGTCAACTATACGTTGGTGGTTTTTTAGTGGTACCTCCAATCATTTAAGTTGAATAATTATTGTTGGTGGTTGGCGGGTGTTCTGGTCTGGTTTGCTCCTTCTTTGCTATCAAATACCTATTCTCTTTATCTCTCCTCCTTCTTCTTTGTGTTTGTTACTCCCTTGTGACACTTCTAATCATCCTCACTTATTATATGACCTTATTGTGTTGCAAGATCCGTAAAACCTTTGCGAAAAAAAGAATAATTATTTTTAAGACAATTCATTTTATGAAAGACAGTTTTATCACTAAGTTTACTAAAATCACGAAAACGTTCTTTTCTGAGTTTAGAGATGGTAAGAATCCTGTGATTTCCTTCAATTGTCGAAAAGAGTGTAAACAATTTTATGTAACTGGGTTTTTTCTGAACGTGTCCCATGTGAAATTGTGATTCCTCGCAAGCTTTCGTGCCAGTCGATATATTATTTAGGTATATGCCACTATTTTTAGCTAAAAGTTAAGTGCGCGCTTGAGTTCGGGTGACAGTCTTGAATTACCGCCAAGGGTTAGGCGACCCGCAAGCTTTGGAAAACAATCGCTGGCACCGACAGGGGTAATTCCAAACATCCAGACTCGAACACGGGCCCTGCAATTAGAGCGGTGCTGCGCCGTTGTATCATCGGAGAGGGTTCTTTGGGTTTTAAAAAATTATGTTTTTGTTGTGGGGTTTGTTTTTTCAATTGATTTTTTCCCATTTTGTGTGTTTGTGGGGGGTGGGGGGATGTAGAATCGAAATAAACCTTCTATTTTTTTCTGACAAACAGGGAAATGTGTGTGTGAGGGGGGGGGGTGTTAGAGTGAAAGGGAGAAAGGGGTTTCTTGTTATGTTTCGTTTCCATTGTTTTTGTTTCTTTTAAGCTTTTGTTTGAGAGCCGAGAAAAGTGGTTTCTTTGAAGGGGCAGACTATGACGAGTATGTTTGGATCTTCTTCTTCTTCTTCTTCTTCTTCTT